AGTGGTAGAGCTCAGGTCAAGGCCCCATGTTCAAACCCTATGACCAACAAAACAAAAAACTACAATAGAAAATAAAATAGCAAAAGAAAAACAGAAAAACAAAAATACAAAGCAACAAAATTACAGGTGCCAATACTTAATATGACATTTTGGATGTTTTCTCCAAAATTTTCTGGCAGACCACAAAATTCTTTGTAAAAAAAGGATCAAAACTATAAAAATGTGCCCAGAGAAAACCTAGAAGTAAACTTAAAATATCAGTAGTGGTTACTGATTATCTTGGAACAGTAAACTAATGTGGGAACTTTTCCTTTTTTTAAATTAAAAAAAAATTTTTTTTTGGTTGGCTGTGGGGTTTGAACTCAGGGCTTGGGGGCTCTCCCTCAGCTCTTCAGCTCAAGGCAAGCACTCTACCGCTTGAGCCACAGCGCCACTTCTGGTTTTCTAATGATTTATTGAAGATCAGAGTCTCCCGGACTTTCCTGCCGGGGCTGGCTTTAAACCATGATCCTCAGATCTCAGCCTCCTGAGTAGCTAGGATTATAGACATGGTGCCCGGCATTTTTTTTTCCTTTATTTTTTAACTTTCTGTAGTTTGCTAGTTGATGGCAAAATGAGCTCTTCCCTGCCTCTCATTCCTCCCCCTGCCCCCCACCACCAGATCTGGTGATAGGATCTAGTGCCTTCCTTGCATATGATACACAGAGAAATGCTACTAAGAGACATCCTGAGGTTCCAGAATGAATGGAAAAAAATAAGTGTTCCTCCTAAGATTGAAACTCTGACCTCCAAGCTTCTCTGTTCACTGCTGCTCTGACTTCACTCTTTCAGGGCTTTTGTTCTTTGTGCTCCCAAAGATGCAGCATTCCTACCCTGTGGCTGGGCACTCGGCACCAGCTCAGTGCTACCTCCTGTCATGGCTGTCACCAAGCAGAAAGCCTTTGGGCTAGACCTTTTGATTGTGAACTTGAGGAAGTCACCCTAGGCAGGAAGGCTGTGAATGCGTGAGGTTAAGTGGTTCAGTTCTCATGCACTTATTCTACAGCAGTGGTTAGATACTCAGGAAAGCACAGTGCCAACCAGAGATCTATAGAACTGCCTGTTTCTTCCTTCTGGAAAAAAAAAAAAAACAAAAAAACAGAAGTAGCTGAACAGAGAAGAGACAAGAAGCCCAGGGCTGTGACATTTGCAAGTTTCTGCTCAGAAGACTGTTAGGAAAAGAGATCTGATGGGGAAGGTGGGAATGAGGTAAGGATGACCGGATTTCAGCTTCACCTCTTCAGTGAGTTTGATAAGGCTTTGCAAAAACTACAGCAATAGCTGCCTTCTTTCTTGTCACTGAAGGGTAGCTGGTGGCAAAGAGCTGGCAGAGACGAACTGTGACAGGTGCTATAAGGGACCCACGGTCTTAGGGAGCAGAGTTCTAATACCCCAGTCCCACAGTCTTAGGGAGCAGCGTTCTAACACCCCTGTCCCACAGTCTTAGGGAGCAGAGTTCTAACACCCCTGTCCCAGGTGCAACCTGAGGAGCTTCATTTTCTCAGCAGATCTTCCCAAAGTGTAGACACGCCAGGGAAAGCCACCTTCCATTTAGCTGATTATGTATCCTAGCAATGGGCTGAACTGAGCTGAGCGGGGCTGGGCTGGGCTGGGCCAGGTCTCAGCAGTGGCAAGGGCTGACAGCTGCATCTGCAGAGGTGTGGAGGCTGGCTGTCACTGGGTGCTGCAGTCTCCACACAGCCTTTCATCCTTCATGTGGCAGCCTAGGGATTCCAGGTACACTGAGAGCAGGCAGGATCAGCATCACAGCACATTCCAAGTCTACTATGGCTTCTACTTGATACCACTTCAAAGGAGCCACACACCAAACTCAGATTCCGGGGTGGAGGAAGAGGCGCCCTCATGATCAGAAGAGCTGCACAGCTTACCTCAGGATGGAAGAAGTCAGAGGCTTTCCCAGACCTTCATTCAGACCTGGTCATTTGTTCAGGGGACAGGAGCCAGGCAGTAAGTTCTCAGGTGATTTCTTCCTTTTTTTTTTGTCTTTCATATTTCTTTTGTTTGTCATAGGGCTTGAACTCAGGGTCTGGGCACTGTCCCTGAGCACTTTTGCTCAAGGCTAGTGTTCTATCATGTTGAGCCACAGCACCACTTCTGGTTTTTGAGTTAACTGGAAGTAAGAGTCTCAGGGGGGTGGCTGGGAAGGTGGCTCAGTGGTAGAGCGCTTGCCTTGCATGCCTGAGGCCCTGAGTTCAATTCCTCAGCACCACATAAACAAAAACAAACAAACAAAAAAAGAGTCTCAGGGGGACTTTTTTGCTTGGGCTCGTTTTGAACTGCAATCCTCAATCTCAGCCTCCTGAATAGCTAGGATTACAGGTGTCAGCCACTGGTACCCAGATCTCCTTATTTTTAAACACTTATTAAATAGTATGTGATATATGTGTGTGTATATATACACACATATATACAGAAAATAAAGCACATACAATAGTATATCCATTCATGAGCCTACTACTCAGCCCCAAAGCTCTATCACAAATATTAATTTATTTCTATTCTATTTATTACTATTCTCCTACGTGAGTTTCTCTTAAGCTGTCTTCCTGCTTCTCTTTGAGAGGTAACATTTTGCATTTTGTGTTTTCCATTTACTTAAACATACATCTTGTAATTGGTATCTATATCTATATACAATATGTTGCTGAATTTTTTTTTTTTGGGTCTGGTCGTGGGGCCTGAACTCTGGGCCTGGGCACTATCCCTAAGCTCTTCAGCTCAAGGCTAGCGCTCTACCACTTGAGCCACAGTGCCACTTCTGGCTTTTTTTCTTTTTGCTTATGTGGTGCTGAGGAATCGAACCCAGGGCCTCAGGCATGCAAGGCAAGTGCTCTACTACTGAGCCACCTTCCCAGCCCTATGTTGCTGAATTTTGCTTACCTTTTCCCCCTCCAACAAAATGTTTTATGATTTATTTCTTGAGTTTGTTTTTTTTTTTTTGTCAGTCATGGGGTTTGAACTCTGAGCCTGAGCATTGTCCCTCAGCTCTTCAGCTCAAGGCTAGCACCCTACCACTTGAGCCACAACATCACTTCTGTTTTTCTGGTGGTTTATTGCAGATAAGAGTTTCACAGCCTTTCCTCCCGGGCTGTCATTGAACCGTGATCCTCAGATCTCAGCCTCCTGAGTAGCTAGGATTACAGGTATGAGCCACAGGCGCCTGGCTTTTTCTTGTGTTTTTCTTGTGATAAAAATATGTAGAGTAAAACTTTGTTTTATCTATTCTTCTGTGGATAATCAGCAGCATAATTACATTAGCAATGTTGTACAACCATTAGCACTGTTTTTAAAATCTTTTCCTCTCTTAAGCAGAAACTAACCACATTAAGCAATAATGCCCTTTTCTGCTCCCTGTAAGCCTCTAACCTACTTCTTTTCCACAAATTGCCTACTGAGATCTTTAATAGAAATGGATTGTATAATACTTGCCCTTTGGTATCTGGATTCTTTCATTTAGTATGTGTTCAACGGTTATTCATATTGTAGCTATGTATAAACTTAATTCTTCTTTATGGGTTAATAATATTCTTTTCCTCCAGAATCTATCTATCTGTCTATCTATCTATCTAGAAAGATAATGTTGTTGTTGTTGATCATGGGACTTGAACTCAGGTCTTGGGCACTGTCCATGAGCTTTTTTTGCTCAAGGCTAGCACTCTACTACTTTGAGCCAAAGTACCACTTCTGGTTTTCTGGAGGTTAAATGGAGATAAGAGTCTCATACACTTTCCTGCCTGGGCTGGCTTTGAACAGTAATCCTCAGATCTCAGCCTCCTTAGCTAGGATTATAGCTAAGATTACAGGTATAAGCAACCAGCACCCAGCTTCCAAAATAATTTTGATGAAGACCACAATTAGTAAAAGATTAGCTTCTGAAAGCATCCTACAGTCTATGACAAGGATCAGGTGTTAGGGAATAAATATCAAGTATAAACACCACATATATTAAAACTTTTCTGGGCTGGAAAGGTGGCTCTGTGGTAGGGTGCTTGCCTAGCATGCATGAGGCCCTGGGTTTGATTCCTCAGCACCATGTACACAGAAAAAGCTGGAAGTGGCACTGTGGCTCAAGGGGTAGAGTGCTAGCCTTGAGCTGAAGAGCTGAGGGACAGTGCCCAGGCCGAGTTCAGGGTCCAAGACTAACAAAAAAAAGCCCCCCCCAAAACAAAACCCAAACTTTTCCTTTGCCTCAGTAAATTCACCTTTTCTCTAATGTAGGCAGAGGTCAGAGCAAAAGAAGACATTTGTTTTAAGAGTGACTTATGGAGGTTCTGTGGATCTAACCTTGCACATCCCCAGGGTTTGCCCCTCAGAGTTACCAGTAGATGGCTCAGATTTGTCGAGAAGCAAGATGGAAACCTTTTCTGTGTAAAAGGGGCAGATATTTGACTAAAATAATCTGTCCCATTTCTCTACTTGGAGTAATTACTGACTATAAAACTATGAGAATCGGGGCCCTTGTGGGCAATCCGTGCAAACCCCCACTACACTTTCAGCTACCTGGTGTGATTTTTCTTTTCTTTGTTCAAGTAGCCATCTAAGGACAGGTAGTTGCAGTTTACTGATTGCAGGTTGGACAGATTTCAGCATCGGAGAGATTTCAGCATCAGTGAGATGTCCACACAGGAGGGGGAAGTGCCTATGGAACATGCTTTCTTTATAGCTCTCTCTAAGCTAGGCTGTAGCAAGTTTGAAATAACTCAAGGTTTATTCATATTGTCAGCTTGGCAGTCCTCTCCTGCTGACTCCTGCCACCCTGCTGATTTCTGGAAACATTTTGGCAGGTCCATGAGGTCATGAGGTTGCCAGATTTCTTAAGGGTTTATAAAACCACCCCATGGGAAATTCTGAAGTGAAGCAAGAACTCTGCCCTCAATAGGGGCTTGGACTGTGGCTTTGTTACTGGAACATGCCAGTGACCTTGTGTGTAAACACAGTAGTTACAAGTTAAGAAGGGGTGGTGCAAGATCTGGACACATAAAAGGCTCAGCAGAGGTCCCCCAAACACTGCTCTCTTGCTGAGGAAGACAAGCTAAAGATGAGGTGAGTCCACGGTACCCTAACTCCCTTTCTTGGTGCATGCCACAGAGAAGTCTAAGAAGCTATTACAAAGAAACAAGGCATTTGGCTGAACTGCAGAAGGGAGCTGGTGTGTTTGGGCCTCTCTCCATTTCTGCATCCACATGAGGCTGTGTTCAGACAACACTGCCTTTTCCTAGGAGATGGACTTGTTACCAAGTCTTCATTTTCACAAGGGGTGCAGCTGCTTGGTATTTTGATTAGATTTATTAGCGGATATTTCCCCTCTTTTTCTCCCCTTGTAGTTCTGGGGATTAAATCCAGTACTTTGCATATACTAGGCATGTGCTATACCACTGAACCAGTGTGTGTGTGTGTGTAGTGTGTGTGTGTGTGTGTAGTGTGTGTGTGTGTGTGTGTAGTGTGTGTGTGTGTGTGTGTGTGTGTGTGTGTGTGTGTGTGTGCTGGTCCTGGAGCTTGTCCCCGAGATTCTTTTTCTCAAGGCTAGCTTTCTATCTCTTGAGCCATAGGGCTACTTCTGCCTTTTTCTGAGTAGTTTATTGGAGATAAGGGTCTCATGGACTTGCCTGTCTGGGCTGGCTTTGAACTCACAGGCATGAGCCATTGGTATGTGGCATCATTCCTAATTTAATGTACCTTGAATACAGCCAGAATAGCCACTTAGCTGTGCACCTCCATATCTCAGTGGCACTACTCTGAAGCTTACATGTAATTCCTAGCAGCAGAATTTTCTAGAAGCCGGGTATGCTCAGACGCTCTTCAGGTCTCTACGTGGGTGGCTGAGAGGGTGGGGATAGCTTCCCAGACTCAGCACTTCCAAATGTCTATTTTCTCTTTTGGATGCTTAATGTAAGATTGTGTGCTCATGTGCTTGTGCATTGGAGGCAGTTTTGTAACCCTTTCTGACATCTCTCTGCAGCGCTCTGGCAGCAGCAATTACTGCCCTCCTGCTCTGGGGACAGGTTTTTGCTGTGGACTTGGGCAACGATGCCACAGACATTGCAGGTAGGCCTTTGGGGCTGGGCGGGGGCTATGCAGCCCTGGCTCTGGTGAGTCCTGCTTTGGCCCTGCGAGATCTGTTCGGTCTTCCTTGGGGAAGGCTCAGCTCTCCCTTCCCATCCTCTCCCATCCTAGAGATAAGGGGAGATGGACTTTGTCGTCTTCCTTCTGGTAGAGGGAGGTTTACATGCTGAGCAGCTTCCTCCCATCTCACTTTTTTGTTGGTCTCTGGGAACAGTTTTGGACTACAAACTCCTGTCCTTTTTCCTTGCAGATGACAGCTGCCCAAAGCCCCCTGAGATTGCAAATGGTTACGTGGAGCACTCTGTTCGCTATCGGTGTCAGACATACTACAGACTGCGCAGTGGAGGAGATGGTAAGGCCGGGACGATGGTCCTCCCCACCCTGTGGGTGCTGTGATGGACAGGGCCCTGTGGCTGGTCAGAAAGACCATTTGTACCACCTGGAGGCAGGAGAGTTAGCTTCTGAGCCTTTTCACTAGTATGTGATCCTTGAGAAAATGAACACTTTCAGCTCTCAGTTTTCTTGCTAAGGGGAGGTGATGGCATGTAGCCCACCTGTGGTCAAGCAGATCCATATCATGAGAGGAGATGTGGGAAAGGAATAAATAATGACAGCAGGGAGCCATTATCTAGTGAGCAGGACACCTGTAGCACTTTCAAAGTGCTGAATATTCATTTAAAATTTGCTTCTCTCAAATGACAGCCTTATTCTTTTTCTGACGAAGAAACAGACACAGAGAGATTACATGTCAGGTCTAGTTCACATAGCCTTGAGTCAGGATGTGAACGCTGATCTCTACCTGTGTTTCTTGCCATGTCTAACAAGGCCATAGTCTGTCCTGCACCTGACTGGACTTGAAGCATAGTGCTCCTTCCCTTCCTCCTCCTCCCTGCACTGGCCTTGTCTTCCTCTTCCACCATTTCAATTCTTCTCTTTTTCCTTTTTCAAGATAAGGTCTCATTATGTAGCCCAGGTAGCCTTGAACTCATAATTATCCTGCCTTAGTTCTCAAGTGCTAGGATTGCAGGCATGCCTCCCTGCACCCAGTGAGTGTCCTAATTCTTCCCTTTAAGTATCTTCTCATCCTGTGTTAGGTCCAGATTTAATTTTTCCCTGGGCTCATTTCTTGTTTGTTTCAGGTGTGTATACCTTGAACAGTGAGAAGCAGTGGGTGAATGAGGCCGTTGGAGGGAAACTTCCTGAATGTGAAGCAGGTAGGTGTGGACAGCTTAGTACGTGGGCTGGCATCTAGGTTGAAATGTTTCAGAGCCCTTCCCTTGAGCACACAAGGAGTCAGGTGAGGGGTGAGAGAGAACCCCAGCAGCGGAGCAGGCAGGGCTGAAACTTGGGGAGGGAAGAGGTGATTCCCAGTAGAGTTTAGTGAGCCTCATGTTCACTGAGAGCTTGGCTGAATGCAGACTCCACTGCCTCGGTCAGGAGACCCTGTGCACACAGAGGTTCTGCCTAGAGAGCCCAGGCTGAAGTAAAGTGAACTTCAGAACAAGTGCAGGCAAGTGAGTGAAGCTTAACCATAGGGGGAGAAAGCAGCAGGCTGGACATGGGCAGGGACTCCAGTTTTCTGTTTCTACCTCTTGGTAGTGGTGCAGGACTGCCAACCTGTCTTGGAGTGATGAGAGAGGTGATGAGTGGGGAGAGAGGGAGAGGGACAGGGACAGGGAGAGGAAGGAGAGGGAGAGGGAGAGGGAGAGAGGGAGTGAGTGAGCATCTTACACAGCTCCAGGCCTCTCAGTGAGTTTCAGGGAAGGGAAACCCCTTGGTGTAGTGTTTCACTAGAGTTTAACTGCTCAGTTTGGCATTGCGTATTCTTTTGGTAGTTAGAAAAGGAGGAAACAGAACTTTGCAGTAGGAGAGGCCATCATTAAACTGCTAACACTGGACTGAGATGAGCAGATAGTAAGGGCAAAAGGGAGCATATACTTCTAGCTCTGAAAACAAAGACAATGATGGTACAGAGAATAGCAACGTTTGCTGTTTGTACCCAGTGTTCCTCTCTCATTCTGCTCATGGGTTCTTGCTCTCCCTAACAGAATGTGGCAAGCCCAGGTACCCCGTGGACCAGGTGCAACGCATCATCGGTGGCTCTCTGGATGCCAAAGGCAGCTTTCCCTGGCAGGCAAAGATGGTCTCCCGCCACAGTCTCACCACAGGAGCCACATTGATCAACGAACAATGGCTGCTGACCACAGCCAAAAACCTCTTCCTGAATCATACTGAGAATGCCACTGCAGATGACATTGCTCCAACCTTGAGACTCTACTTAGGGAGAAATCAGCAGGTGGAGATCGAGAAAGTCATTTTCCACCCAAACCACTCCATGGTGGACATCGGACTCATCAAACTGAAGGAGAAGGTGCCCATCAACGAGCGGGTGATGCCCATCTGTCTGCCTTCCAAAGACTATGTGCAAGAGGGACGCTTAGGTTATGTCTCTGGCTGGGGGCGAAATGTCAACTTTAGGTTTACCGAGCGTCTTAAATATGTCATGCTGCCTGTGGCTGACCAACAGAAATGTGTGATGCACTATGAGGGCAGCACAGAGCCCGAAAAGAAGACTCCCAAGAGCCCCGTGGGTGTGCAGCCCATCCTGAATGAACACACCTTCTGTGCCGGCTTGTCCAAGTACCAGGAAGACACCTGCTATGGTGATGCGGGCAGCGCCTTCGCTGTTCGTGACCTTGAAGAGGACAGATGGTATGGGGTAGGGATCTTGAGCTTTGACAAGAGCTGCACAGTAGCAGAGTACGGTGTATATGTGAATGTGCGCGAAATCCTGGGCTGGATTCAGGACACTATAGCCAACAACTAAGATGATGTTGGCTGGCAGTCGGCCCCTGCAGGGCAGGCTAGGTTTTGCCAGGCAGCAAGATTTTCCCCTGGGAGGAAAGTGGAAGTGATGAGATGTGGTGGGGAGTGATGGCATCAGCCTTGTCCTGCTGAATCAACCAATAAAGAGCTTGCTTCTCTGTGCTGTTTGTAGTCTGGGCTCTTTGTGTTCTTTCATTTTTGGTGATGTAGTCTTTACTTGGGAAAAAGCCAGCCTAAGCTGCCTGGAAATGCCAAAGGTGATATAAAATACCTAGTTTCGGTCTGAAGACAATCCCTGAGGCTCTTCTTACTATATCCTCTGCCTCTCTGTGTGTGGATTAGGAGAAAAAAATGTGCAGACAACTGGACACTGGTGGTTCATACCTATAATCGTAGCTACTCAGGAGGCTGAGATTTGAAGATTGAGGTTTGAAGTCAACCCAAGCAGAAAAGTCTGTGAGACTCTTATCTCACATTAACCACAGAATGCTAGAAGTGGAGCTGTGGTTCTACTGGTACCAGCCTTGAGCACAAAAGCTCAGAGGGCAGTGCCCAGGCCCAGAGTTCAAGCCCCAGGATTGTGGGAAAAAAAATTAGGAAAATGCTAGCAGGAAGTGGGATGGGATGAAACCAGATAGTACTTGAATTATTTGTGCTCCGACCTACCAATGCCCCGGAAGATAAAATAAGGCATCACAGGGGCGGAGCTCTACACTTGCGGGGTCTAAATCACAGCCCAGCCCAGACTTGCTGAATGTTAAGCTCCTGGGCTCCTCCATGAGGGGCTAAAAGGAGGTGATCTCTAAAGCCCCTACCATGCCACTGGGGACTCTGCGAAGAGTGGGCGCTTTTCTCAACATGAGGTGCTCTTCCTATTGTTTTTCCTAAGAAAGATGAATATCTTTTTCTGACTGCTTTCTTGCCATGATTCTTTTGTCTTAGCATGCTGCTCCTCATGGTGTAAAGGTGGCTCAGTGGTAGTGCTTGCCTTGCATAAGGCCCTGCGTTCGATTCCTTAGTACCACATAAGCAGAAAAAAAATGCCGGAAGTGGTGCTGTGGCTCAAGGGGTAGAGTGCTAACCTTGAGCTGAAGAGCTGAGGGACAGCGCCCAGGCCGAGTTCAGGCCCCACGACTGACAGAAAAAAAACCCCAAAAACATTGCAAAATGCTGCTCAGAGAGTAGTCATAACCTTCTCTCAGTAGTACTGTCAGCATTAATTTCTCTGAAGGAATAAACCATCTAGCTTCCTGAAGAGTTCAGTGGCTTCTGGTCACCAACCAGGAGGGAAATAAGAAAGAACACCACTGCCGGGCGCTGGTGGTTCACGCCTGTAACCCTAGCTACTCAGGAGGCTGAGATCTGAGGATCGCGGTTCAAAGCCAGCCTGGGCAGGAGAGACCGTGAGACTCCTATCTCCAATAAACCACCAGGAAACCGGAAGTGGCACTGTAGCTCAAGTGGTAGAGCGCTCGCCTTGAGCTGAAGAGCTGAGGGACAGCGCCCAGGCCCAGAGTTCAAGCCCCACGACCGACACACACACACAAAAAAAAAGAACACCGCTGGCATTTTTCTATCACTTGGCTTCTCTGCCTGTGCCCTGCTTGGGTTCCAGCAGCATGAGTCTGCTTAGCTCTCTGGTTTCCTGTTGGTGTCCAGCCCTGAGCCTTTTCCCTCCAGTCCCTGTTGACATGTTCCACCCCTTGCTGAGACCTGAAGGTTCAGGCGCTGCCTTTTACCGTGATCAAGAATCATTTGTATTCAAATAGCACGCACTCAACAAGTAGGATGGAAAACAAATAAAAGAGGATCTAAAATTTAATCTGGACTGCAGAGAGCCTCCCTAAAGCACAGGAGAAAAAAGGGTGATGAGAACTTTGTGCTGGTATCTGAGTCCTTACCACATACAAAATACTGTGTGAATTAGGCAAAAGAACAGAAGACTAACAGTGAGTTAGGCAAAGACAATGTTTTATTCTTTCATGGAAATCTGGAGGGATGCAGGTCTAGAGTTCAGTGAAGAGCTCAATGACATCTTTAGAAATCCAGCTCTTTCAATGGTTCTTCTTAGAACATTCATTTTTCGTACCCTGAGGCTGAATATTGTGGCCTTGTGCAAAGAGGCAGGAAGTGAGGTAAAAGACAGGTGGAGTGAAAGGGTTGTGTTTTTCTTATTTTTGGAGTTGCTCCCTTTTTCTCATCAGCAAAGGGCATAAAATGCCCTGGTAGCCTTTCTTCTGGGCTACAGTGGCCAGCATTAAGTCCATGGTAGTGGGTCGGACTTTTAATGACAGAAGTCTCCAGCTGTCAAGGTTATAAACTCCGGCTACCGTACTCTAGCACTGTGTCCATCTCTCATTCTGGAGCTCCAGGACCAAGAGCCACCAGGATTCTGGAAGTCCAAGGAATCTTCCAAAGTCATTAAAACCAGTAAACCCATGAAGATGATTTTTTTTTTCTTCTTCCTAATAAGTCTGGTATCTCTCCAGGCTTTGGCCCTTGAAATAAAATTTCTGGCTTCAGCGATTCTTGTCTTCTGGGAGAGATCTTCCTCTTCCGCCCTAAAGGCACATAGTTTTTTCCTTACCCTGAACTATATGGGGCACGGTGAAGATTCAAGTTCTACTTCCTGGGTGGTAACATAAACTGTAGCTAAATGAGCCTACCAGGACAGTGTTTGGAAAGTCTGAGCCAAAAACGCCCCCAAATAATAAGAGACTTGTCTGAATTATTTCAAGAGAAACTGGGGCAATAGGATCTGGAAATGAAAGAACATGACGGTCAGATGAATACAGGAGTGGGGAAGGCAAGAGTGAGTGAGAGTGTGAGTGTGTGTGTGTGTGTTTGTTTACATGTGTACAAACATACCTAAGGTAGAAAATAAGCATTTCAGCCGGGCATAGGTGGCTCACACCTATAATCCTAGCTACTCAGAAAGCCGAGATCTGAGGATCACACTTCAAAGCCAGCCCAGGCAGGAAAGTCCATGAGACTCTTATCTCCAATAAACCACTAGAAAACTGGAAGTGGCGCTGGGGCTCAAGCCATAGAGCACTGGCCTTGAACTGAAGAGTGCGGGGACAGCGACCAGGCCCAGAGTTCAAGCTCATGACCGACCAAAAAAAACCCCAAACATTTCTGCTCTTTTGGGACTGGCTTTCCATTTACTTATGCACTGGGCAAACATGATCAAACGACATTGTACTCACAATGTTTAAGTACATTCTGTGTTATCCTAAGAGATAAAGGAAAGCCCAGCATAAAAGAAAGAAAAAATCACCCTGGGAAAAACAGCACCACTCTGAGGCTCTCAGGAAGCAGACACTCAGGGGCCAGGTGTTTTTATTACAGACACGTCAAACCTCTCTGCTGGGACATGAACAACATTTCTAGGGGAACCCCAGAAATCAGTGCTGCGGGATTTTGGTACCATTTCAACCTGTGCCCTTCTCTTCACCTTCGACAGCAATGGATGTGCTAAATGTCTTGATAGAGAAGGTCGTATTTGGGGATATTCTTGGGATCAATAGGACTTTGGACAATAAGTTTCCCCCTCATTGCTCCCCGATAGATTACTTCAACCAAATCTATGAAGTCTTGTTTAGTTTTGAAACTTCCCACAAACTTAGTATGATCCGGAGACCTAGACAGCACAGAAAAGAAAGTGTCCTCAGAATTGTTCCCAATTACATGTCAAAGATTTGCAGGATAAACAAATAGCTCTGTTAGTTTCTTCTTGCCTGTGAAACTTTCCATATTCACTCATTTGATTTTCCCACTTGATAAACAATACATGACTAAGATCAGTGCTGGAAGCCACTAAAATCAAAGCCCTGATGTGTGAAGAATTCATTTATTCACTTTGTAAATCACTCTTCTGTAGAACTGGAGTTATGGTGGGCAAAGTTTGGCATCACTGTGCACGGCCATTAACTAGTTTCAGTATCCTAAGTTCTTGCCATATTTTCTTAAGAGAAAAATAAAACCACCAGCAAGGCAAGGGGTCATCTTTTAGTGTATATCCTTATGTGATTTGTACATTCACTTGTGTGTATTCATAATAATAGAGTATCTTAAACTGTTTAGTATAGTGCTTTTCTTCAAAATCATTAAATGTACATCTATACTTGAACCTTAGTACTGCCAAAACAACAAATAAGACAAACCAAAACAAAAAGGACCCTTCAAAAGAAACAACCAAAAATCAAAAGCTATCATATGTACAGCATTACATACAATTCCTGGAAATACAAGTACTAGTTAAAAGGTCACACACTTTTAAGGCATAAGTTAACCTTTAACAAAGCCATTATAAAGCTAATATATTAGCTCTGTTCCAGGTCAATGAACAGGTCTAAAAACAATTTAAAACAGACACCAGTTAGCTAGCTTTCAAACAGAGAATGAAAAAGCAGGTACACTAGAGTTAAGAAAGTACTAGAATTACTAAAAATGACTAGAAATTAGTAGAATTATGGCTGCATTCAATAAAATTCATCATTGAGATGTGGGAAGAATAGAGTGGAAGGCATTAAAGAATTTACATTGCTTATTTGGACAGGCCTGTTCAAGAATGACTTAAAAGGTCTATAAGCAGTGCAAGATACTTGGCAAGAGAGAAATTAATCTTTATTTGCTATTTAGGTTTTAGAAATGCCACTTGTTTGTCCCAAACATTTAAGAACTATATATTAGCCAGGTGCCAGTGGCTCTCACCTGTAATCCTAGCTACTCAGGAGGCTGATATCTGAGGATCACAGTTCAAAGCCAGCCCAGGCAGTAAAGTCTGCGAGACTCTTATCTCCAATAAACCACTAGAAAACCAGAAGTGGCGCTGTGGCTCAAGCAGTAGAGCCCTAGCCTTGAGCTGAAGAGTGCAGGGACAGCGCCCAAACCCAGAGTTCAAGCCCCACCACGACCAAAAAACAAAAACAGAAAAACAAAACATATATTTTTTCGAGTAGAATACTGACAAATATTTTATATCAAATTCTTAGCTAATAGTTTTTATTTTATATGGAGGCTAGTGCTTCACAGACTATATTGATCTTTCATATTTCAGTTGGAAATTATAACATACCAATCATGCCTAAAACAGTAATTCTTTACTACACTTCCACATAAAAAGAATGCATCAATTGAAGAGACAGTACTAACCAATCAAGACTCACAAAGCCAGCACCAAAATCAAATAGTTTAGCCACCAAATCTGCTTTGATAAAGAAAAATTTAATGATAGCTATAACTCCAAAGTTAACTTCACTTACCCATAATCCACTTTCATATGCTGTCCGTTGAAGAAAAACACAGTAGAGGGAATATAACTGATGTCAAAATACTGTGTATAAACCGGAGTGTGGTCCACATCTACCAGGTATATAGCAGCCATTTTACTTAGGTCAGAAGAGGTCTTAGAAAGCTGTGCAAAAGAGATGGAGGTTACAATATGAGACAGCTGGTTGGGTGTGGTGGTGCATTCTTGTAATTCCAAAATTTGGGAGACTGAGGTAGGATGATCATTGCTTTTGAGGCCAGCTGGTTACATAGCAAGATATGCCCCACTCCTTGCCCTCCAACTAAGCAAATCTTCCAAACGTTACGAGTCAGTGTTTCTTTTGTGAAACTTTTTACTACAATAGGGTATTTTGTTTGAGAAAATTTCTGAACCAGGAATCTTAGCCCTTTTGGTTCCACATTAGACAATATGTAGCCTTATTGTTCAAAAGCTGAAGTTGATAGGGCTAAGAAAATGTCCTGAGGAAATTAGGCTTTTTCCTTTTATTTTCTGACCATGTTTGATTGTTGCTATAAATTTGTTCATACTCATTTAAATGGACTGTGGGGTACAGCATAGTGCTAAAACACTTGTCTAGCATGCACAAAGTTCCATCCTCCACACTGAAAAAAGGCAAACTCAAATCCAACACTTAAAATAATTGAGAAATATGTAATGAAGATACGGGGAATTCTCCCAAGTCTCTTTCCCCTTGGAAATGATCATTATAACAGCAAATGCTTACATCAACTTCCTATGATCTAACATTTTATGCTTTTTAATAGTTAATCCTGACCATGGTCTTGTGAGGTATGGCCTGTTAGGAGTCCCCATTTGACAGATGAGGAAACTGAGGCACATTAAGGTTAAATAACCTGGCTTTAGGCAACACTTGGGGGTGTGACTGGGATTTGAATTTTCACAGCTTGTCTTCAAGAATCTTTATATCCCCCCACCTCTTTTTTTTTTGCAATGCTGGTAATCAAACCATTACATATTCATTTTAAAGCATACAATGAAGATTCTTACACCAGACACCCACAGTTGATAACAGCAATAGAAATGGTGGGAAGTTTGCATTCTTGGTTTAGTCTCTGTCAATGATATACAGGGATAAAACTATCCCATAATTTTCCTCCTAACCCTAGTATGAAGATGTGCTGTGAAATCAGAAGTTGCTACCAGGTACATTCTAGAAGCCAAAGTACTTGAGTTGCAATGTAAAATTCATACATCTGATAAGACTGGGAAGTTCTTTAACCTCCCATACATTTACTTTTGCCATTGGGAAATGGGGCTATGGTTGTAAACAAGAAAGTGTTCAGACACTTGGTAATAATGTTTTCTCCCCTTTCACTGACTTGTCAGCAAGTTTTTTTTTTCATCTTTTGAAATATAGTTTCCCTAGGTAGACTGGTATGGAAATCACATTCTTTCTGCCTCAGCCTCCTGAGTAATACAGGATTTACAGGTGTGTGCTGCTATGCTTGGCTCAGCGAAAGTGAACTGCTATTGGAAGGCCAATTGGAAAGATGAGCATAATGGATTTAGAGATTCAGCTCAGGTCGGCCACAATCAGTTCTTAGTGAGGTTGTACTAATGAATGAAGAGCAACACCACATCCTATCTGCTACTTGTCAAGTGCTTTGTAGACGCTGAAATAAGAATACTGATTTTTTTCATATTAAAAAACTATTTATTAAAAATATTTACTTACAATATCATCTAGCTGTAGACAGACAGGATCCTCATCTCTCCCAAACCTGAGAACTAGCACCTTTTCCGCAGTACTCTTTATTGCCTGGTCTACTTCCCTTTTGCTAGTCAGTTTGGGCAACAGGAAGCTCATCGTGAAAGAATCCGAATGTAATCACTACTGTTAATCCTGAAATGAAGCTTCAGTGTTTACATGCAGTTAAATGCACGAATCTTTTTCCTTTTTTTCTATTGTGGGCTTGAACTCAGGGCCTGGGCCCTATCTCTGAGTTTTTTTGCTCAAGGCTAGCACTCTAGTCACTTAGAGTCACAGTGCCACTTCTGGTTTGCTGGTAGTCAATCAGAGATAAGAGTCTCACAGACTTTCCTGCCCGGGCTGGAACCGTGATCTTCAGATCTCAGCCTCCAGAGTAGCTAGGAATACAGGTGTGAGACAACGATACCCGGTGAATCCTAATTAAAAAAAAAAAATCTTTTTTAGAGTATGTAATGTATCCAAGAGAAACACAGATATTTGTTTTCAAGAGAAACATAGATATTTGCGAAGTTCTTTGACCAAAGTGCTTATTACTGAAGGTACCCAAGGGAGACGCTACTGAAATACTGGATATTTCTCATTTCTTTTTCTATGCACTTACTTTTTTCTTTTTTTGTTTGTTGTGGGGTCTGGACTCTGGGCCTGGGCGCTGTCCCTCAGCTCTTCAGCTCAAGGCGAGCGCTCTACCACTTTTGAGCCACAGTGCCACTTCCGGCTTTATCTGCTTATGTGGGTGGTGCCGAGGAATCGAACCCAGGGCCTCATGCATGCGAGGCAAGCATGTACCACCGAGCCACCTTCCTAGCCCCTTTTATGCACTTTTTGAGTCATAAATCACACTGTGAATACGCCTATTATTATTAATAATAATAATAAAAACCATAGAGGCAGTGAGAACGTTTCTGCAACAAGTTAGACTTCGGCTGACAGGAGGGACTTATCCTGAGCGGCCAGGATCACAGGCGTGAGCCGCCAGCGCCCGACGAGACGGGTCATTTATTCATGTCGGGCAACGTGTCCACACTTCCCCCAAAAGTCCCCAATAAACATACTTGTGCCGGCGGCCGGACTCCAGGGCCGACGCTCGCCAGGCCGCCTGCACGTCAGGGCCCTCGGTCAGCCCGGGCTTCTCCTGCCTCAAGCCGGGCGGAGACCTGAGCTCGAAGTAACGCCAAGCGCTGCCTAGCAACTCCCGTTGGACCACTACGAGGCAGCGGAGCAGAAATGGCGATGCACAGCCCCTCCAAAACAAGCCTCAGACAGCAGCTCCGGCACTGCCCGCAAGGCCGAGCTCACTTTCAGCAACCGCCACTTTTGCCGGGCTCTGGCCGGAAGTTGTGTCGCCACTTCCGCCCTTAGTAAACATGGCCGACGCCTTCCTTCCGCTCCCACCTACAGAGACTGGAGGCGGAGTCTCGTCTCTATAGATTGTGATTGGCCGTCAGGAGACCCGGAAGTGCCTCGGATCGGGGCAAGGGCTTCCAGAGGAAGGAGCGCTCTTTACTTTGAAAGCCTGTTGGCGTTCTACTCCACGTTGAGATCCCGGAGCTGTGTCTCGGGCTGCCCTCGATGGTATCCCTGGCTGGGTAGAGGGGCTCGCGCAGAGCACCATGGGACAATAATGGCCGCTCTCAGTCCGCGGAATTTAGCTCTTTGAGGCCTTCTGATCGAAGGGTTGCGGCGCTGGCGCCTCCCCATCCTGGCTAGAAGGGTTCCAAGAGTTGCGCTGGGCGAGGTGAGTGTCTCTTCTTCCCCTCCGACCCGCCCTTCGCCAGGCACGGCGGCTCCAGGCGGCGGGCATCCGGCCCCGACCCAGGTTTGGGAAGTTTCTCTTGTCCTTGTCGTCCAACTTGCCGTCCTCGCCCGGGCGAGGCTGCGCCCACCCCGCCTGCTCCGGCCCGGCCCCGGGCGGCCCCGCTGAGGTCCGGGGGTGCCGGCCGCGGTGGCCCCTCGTTTGGGGCCTGCTCTAGCCGGTTCCCGGGTAGTTGCTGAGCCTTCCTGGGCTCGCGGATCTTAAACAGCTCTCTGTACGGGGAGATGCGGTGGATGATCTGCAGTAGAATGTGAGCTCCCCGAGAGCTGGAATCTGTCCACTTTGTTCTTTATCCCTGTTACCACCAAGAACAGCGACTCGCACGAGAGGCAGTTAGTGAGTAGTTGCGGGCCGGGTACCTCCAGATGTTTCTCCTCTCCTCACCATCTCCTCCCACTACCCCGTGGTCTCTTTTTGCCACGAACCTTTTCTCTAGAATGTGAATCTGGCCCCTGGACTCTTGATTTGTTCGCTTCAGCAGCCGGTTGATTTCTGCCAGAGAAAATCTCCTTGTTCGGTGTTACAGTTATCTTTTCATGTTGCCTCTAGAAATGTTTGACTTCTTGTTCTCCTTTCATAAAGTTAAAAAGTATTCATTTGTGTATTCACTAAACGTGTATGATAGTCTACGCACTGGCCTGTAACTGAACAAAGCAGACAAGATTCTCTCATTTGCATGGAATAGCATTCTAGGGATACAGTTCCTACTTTAGTTGGCTGCGGAGGACTGTCTATAATTCTGTTGGCTTGCCTGGATTTCCTCATATGCTGGAAATCACCAGAATGCAGCTTTTTCTTTTTACTCTTCTGCCAGATGACATTTTAAAATTCTTGGTTCCCCCCCCCCCCACATTAATATTGTTTGCAGTACTCTCCTGTAGAGCCGCATATGCAAATTAAAGCTTAGTAGAAAGGTGTGGATTCCAGAGGCATCCTGCTCCTCAGCAGTTCATTTGCTTCACAGTATTGGTGAGATGAAGGAATTAGCCAAGTGTTCAGCAGAGGGCTTACTTATCACCTACAAGTAGGTGTAGACAGTAAAGAGGTTTGTGTTACAATTTGAACTCTACAAAGTCTTCACTCTGAAGTTATTTTTGGAAGCATTTTTGTCTTTGGATTCCTCATAGATACTTTTTGGCGAACATGATTGTCATTCTATTGATTTTGTGAAGTATTTTTTTTAAAGCTAACAAAACACAACTGGTCCAAATAAACCACTAAGGTGTGTACAATAAAGATTATAGCCTTGTCTACCTACATTATTACTCAGCTGGTTTAAAAGGAGGAAGGGATAGAAACTGATTGTATAGCAACCCAGTCAGTATATAGGAGCATGGCAAATAAATATCATAATGACATCTATGTAACCACCTGTGGCTACAGAGTGCTTTCACAAAACACTTTTCCTGTTTGAGTTTCATAATTATTCTATGGATTAGAAAAAGCGAAAATGATTCCCATTTTACAGGTATTAAAATTATGGTTAGCCAAAACTTAAATTGCTTAGCACTACAGAAGTAGAAAATATCATGAGCCTAGATTTCTTTTTTCTTTTTCTTTTTTGAGCTCAGGTCCTTGCACTTGCCTAGCTGGTGTTCTACTGCTTGAGCTACATCAGTAGTCTTTTTTTTTTCTTTCTTATTTTTCATGTTGAGTCTTGTGTTTTTGCCTGGGGCTAGCCTTAGACTCTATCCTTCTACCTATGGCTGGTGCCTGTGATCTCATGGTGTACCACCACACGTGGCTTATGGACCAAAATGAAGTTTGACTTTTTACCTAGGCTAATCTGGAGCCAGAGATCCTTCTGAACTCTTTTTCCTGAATAGCTAAGATTATATATAGGCATGAGCCATTACTCCAACCCCTCTCCCCCTCCCCCCACTTTTAGGCAAGTTTTCACTATGAAGCACAGGCTGCTTTTAACTTGAGGTCCTCCTGATTCATCCTGCCAAGTGCTAGAATGACTTAAGAGCCTGGATTCTAAGTTTTAAAGGTGTTTTCTTTTTTAATTTTAAATCTTGTTTCCCTAATACTTCCTTTTTAGATGCCCATTATACTCTGGGATGTAGCCCCTGTGAGTTCTTTGCTTGCTTGGATGATTTGCTTTTGGATTCTAGTGTTTGATGTGTGTGTCTATTTGTGTCTTTGCTGTTTGTTGGAGTGGGAGTCAGAAGGTCTCTTGAGATTGTGAGTGACTTGAGGGAAAGGTCTTGGCAAGAGCAGCAAAAGCAGTCTTGGTATTGATGTGAGGGAGATAAGGATTGATCATCTAAATATACCTATAATTATAGTTATTCTGGGAAATGGCAAAGCTGAGGCTTCTCTTGTGTCTATTGTCAAACAGTCTGCCTGCCTTCCAGAGGAATCCCAGAGCCTGTGATGGAGGATACCAGCGAGGATGCCTCCATCCATCGGTTAGAAGGTACTGACCTGGACTCTCAGGTTGGCGGTCTCATTTGTAAGACCAAGAGTGCAGCCAGTGAGCAGCATGTCTTCAAAGCTCCTGCTCCTCGCCCTTCATTGCTGGGACTGGACTTGCTGGCTTCTTTGAAACGAAGGGAGCGAGAGGAAAAGGATGATGGGGAAGATAAGAAGAAGTCCAGAGTCTCTTCATACAAGGACTGGGAGGAGAGCAAGGATGATCAGAAGGAAGCTGAGGAGGAAGGTGATGAGCAGGCTGGCCGAAGTAGCCGGAAAGATAGGTAACGGCTGTTGGGTAGGCTGGCCCAAAAAGACAGTAAAAAAAAAAAAATGGAGGCCAGTAAATAACAGGCCACATTTCTTTCCCAGCGTTCTCGCTGGCCACTTAGAACTTCATGATTTTGTTAATTCTGTAATGTTGACAATAGCAAAGAATTGGTGTTTTCAGATTTGTGGGGACAATTCAAAGCCAATTAACAAGTAGATAGTGGAGGTCAGAAATCCTTTGGGTTGTTGCTTCCTGTAAGTCTGAAGCATCAGGACGTGTGGGAAAAGGCAGGTCACTTTTTGGCCCAGCTGGATGTCTGGGGCAAATGTGTTATCTTTTGGAGGCCACTTACCAATTGGTCTCTCTGTTTCAGGCATTACCGATCTGCTCGGGTAGAGACTCCATCCCATCCTGGGGGTGTGAGTGAAGAATTTTGGGAACGAAGTCGGCAGAGAGAGAGAGAGCGTCGGGAACATGGTGTCTATGCCTCATCCAAAGAAGAAAAAGATCGGAAGAAAGAGAAATCACGTGACAGAGACTATGACCGCAAGAGAGACAGAGGTAAACTGTCAGCCATAGTTCCTGTGGCCTGTTCACGTTTGAATAAACTTGCTAGCCCTTTCCCTGTTGTAGGAACTTTAATAAGGACAGTTGGGGAATTCTGTTTGCATGATGTCCACCTGAGCAG